ACCCAAAAATGTATGTAGAATAGATAAGGGAGCAAATACTTCTGGTTATATCCATAGTGGTTTCTCTTCATTCAGAGTGGAAGAATACATTCCTACATTGCACCTGAGCCATCCACTTGTGGGTTGGAGAACTCCTCCCACAGGAATTCCTGAAACAAAGGGAACACCTTCTTCCCCAACCTTGACTGGCATTGCTGATACTCATCCTTCTGAATTATGGAAAGAAGCTGAGAGGAGGCACCTTCCCTGCAACCTGTGGCCTGAAAGACACTTTGCAGCATGAGGTCCTTTCCACACAAATGAATGTGTGGATGTGATGTTTGCCCTCTTAAGGTAAGCTAGAGCAAAGGACAGCTATACAATTCCTCCTCAGATGCTCTCTTCTCATTACAACTTTGTCTTGCCTAGGAACTTTCTTTATAAAGGTTTACTTCCAATCTGCTGGGGAGGAAACAGAAAAGAGGTCAAGAGGTGTCCCAATTTGCTCTGTGAGCTGCAGAGCCCACAATGGCTGTATACGCCAATGGATTTATGTCCCGTGTTCCTCATGCTCCCCCTCAACTGCATGGTGTCTCCTCTTCATATCCACCACTCCACTTCCAAGTGCTCCTCTGGGGCTACAGGAGGAACACTCTTCCCAGCAGTATCTCAAGTTCTTTCTCATCTCCTTTCACTGTGCCCCAATCTCCTCCACTTAGCACCTGTAACTCTTGGAAGGATTACAGTTGCTTTTTTTGGCATGCCAAAGTCAGAAGGGAGTACCCATTGTTACAGAAAACAAGGGAAATAGCAACTCAAAATATTGAAAATTGCTGAATCTCAAAAAATTGCTGAGGCAGCTGGGCCACCAAAATAAGCTGACCAATTTTCTGCTTTTTTTTGTATATCTGTACAAAACACTCACATTGGGTTGAATTTCAACTCACTCATATTTTCAGTTCTTCCAAAAATATTAGTATTGTGAAAAACAGATGAGTTTTCTGTTTGCCTCCCAAAATATAAAATTTCTATTCTCAGAACATAGTATGTCAGCAGTATGAAGATCTGGGAAATTTCATTGTTATTTTCTTTTGGAAAAGATTCTTGAAAACATTTTAAATTTCTGGAACCGAAATATCTGATTCTCACACAAATTCAGACCAATTTTCCCTAACCTTGAAGAAAACTTCTCAGACAAGAAATGTTCTCTAGAGCATCAAAAAACCCCACACTTCTGTATTTACCTTCAATTGCAAAGAAGGGGATCACTACCTATGGCTATTTTACAGATGGAACTGAAGCTCAAATTACTTACCTGCTGCCAGACAAAAGCGTGGTGGAATATGGAACTGACTACAACAGTCCTATTTTCCAAGGCAGTGCCTTAAACACGGCACCATTTTTCCTGCAAGGCCCACACAGTCTGCACGATGGAGAGAGAGACCTCGGACCACAGTCCGACCTAAGCTTTGACCTGAACTTTGTGTTTTGCTCTCACCTCTTGCAAATTGTCCACACAGAAACAGTGTATATTCCACAGCACTTTCTAAGAAGCTGGAGAATATTTTCCTTCCACAAGCAAACATACTTTTTGGGTTGTGTGGCACAACAGAAAAAGCCAATACAGCTTTTCATTTACTGCTGCATCTGCATGTTAACATGAAGGTCAGTAGGAATGTACACAATAGAAAGAAAATGAGTAGTTAATTATTGCTAGACTGCAAGAAGGGAAAACACATGCTTTAATTTGGTTTAGAAAAGAGCAAAACATGAGAACTGCTTCTTCTGGGCTGTTTTTTCATAGGAGGGCATACATAGAGTAAAATTCATGATAACTGTGAGCTATTTGATGTGCTTTGAGTATCACAGATAAAAAATCCCCTCCCATCATTTGGAATAATCTCAAGCAATAATTACAATATTCAGCAAGAAAAATCCCACTTGATTTTTTCCACATCCCGTGGGATTTTTCTTGCTGAATATGATACTCATTTACTGAGATTGTTCCTTCTCCCACATGTGCATAATCTGGCAATTTGCCCATATCTTTTGCCATATTTACTCCTTCTCATGTGTTTGTACTTGAAGGTTTCATTACATTGTCAACAATCTGCAGTGCTTCAAAACAAAGCTGTGTTTAGACTAAAATGCTAGATTTGCTCTTTATGGTACAAGATTTAATAATTTCAAAACATCGGCATGCAACAGACCAAAACCTAGTACAACCAATTTCTCTTGGGATGTTAAACCACTGTTTAAAACTTTCCTTCAGTCCTTCAAGGGATGGAGGTGTATTTATTTGCTGTTCACCATCCAGCTATAATAAATAAGCAAAATGCATTCATGTAACAGGGTAGAGATAACTGCTTTAAAAACATTCTAAGAAGGCATTTTTATCAAAACAATCAGAACAACTTGGCCCTAACTAGCAAATTCAGTTGCTCTGCAGAATGCAGGCCTATTCCCTCCCAATCACCAAATTAATAGTAGTTGGAGGTTATGAAAGTAGTAAAGAACTCTTACTTCCAGAGCAAGGTAAGAGTCCTGGAGAGCAGAGTTCACTACATTGAACTTCACTTATCACTGATTCCTGAAAGAAGGGGCTTATGTCAAGCATCCATGAGCAGAACAAAGCATTGTCTCAAAGGCAGCTGCAGGACTAGAACCTAACACAGGATTTTTGGGCAAGTCTCCAGGCAACTGGCACATGCCAGAGCAATCAGAACATTTCAGTGTAAATTCTGGATAATTGTTGGAGTACGTACCTTGTTGGCTTCACAGTTTTATGCAGACAGAATAGCAAAAATCTGAAAAAGACATTGACTATCCTAATGCTTTAAAGCCATGGTCCCTCAAAAGACATTCACTATCCCAATGCTTTAAAGCCATGGTCCATCAGCCCACTTCATCAGGTGGAACATGAATGGGAAGTAATGCTCATTAATACCAATGTACACTATTTTTAGAGTTTAGATTCACTTCAGTAGTGCTCAACTGATATAAACTGATGGAAATTCTGTACAAATTGGCAATTACAAAACTTACCAAGCTTTTCTGCTCCAGAAGGAATTAGTGATCACGACCAACAAACATGTTTAGTTCCATAAATGCCAAATAACTGACTTCAGGTACTCAAATGTTTTGCAAAATTTAGGTAATATGAAGGCAAAAAGCTCAGTACCTGCCACCAGCAGCCACTGCTCAGAAGCCATCCAACATTTTTCTAGGCAAGATCCAGACTCAGCAAATTGCTCAACTTCACAAAGTAAATGAGTAGCAGAGATTGTCTTATCTCTTAACCCCAAACTAAGTAATTTCACATTCTCTGTCACATCATTTATACTGATGGTTCCACACTACCATGATATATGATTTTTAAGCATTTGTGTCACCAAGTGACAGAAGGTGCATAATGGAGAAATTCCCACATTTGCTGGAAAATCTTTGGTTTGCAGCTTGACAGTTATAGATGGAGTATCTGCATTTCAGCAATGTTTTATTTTCACTGAGGAGGTATTTTAGATGAAAGAACTTTGCTGAAATGGTCTCATTCATTAATGTTTTGTTCAAGAAAACAAAAAATCTAAGGCTCCCTGATTTCTGCAGTCTCACTGAAGAAAGGTTTAAATTATAAAAACTTCTTTTTCAGCTCTATTCTTCTTTTCACAGCAAACACTGAATTAGCTGTGTGACAATGTTGCACTGTCCCATATAATGAAATTTCAGACTGAAAGAGGGTAGGTGTAGATGAGATATGAAGTTCTTCACTGTGAGGGTGATGAGGCACTGGAACAGGTAGCTCTGAGAAGCTGTGGATGCCTGGAAGTGTTCTAAAGCCAAGCTGCATGGGGCCCTGGGCAGCCTGGTCTAATGGAAGGTGTCCCAGCTCATGGCAGCAGGGTTGGATCCAATGCTCTAAGGTTTAGCTTTTGTATTTACCAGATTCTGTACTGACTTAGTATAACTCTGAACTTCATATAAAGTGTTACAAGTTCTCCTCACAGTTTAGTTAGGCAGAACAATACTTTTCCAGCCTGAGAACCAAGGACACCATTGCAGCTTCGGGCCCAAAAAGTTTAAACAACAGCGAACTGAAGAAAGCAATTTGGGAGGATGGGACTTCATAACTTGAATGTGTAATTGGACAACTAACCCCAATATGTAAATGCACCAAAACTTCTAAAAGTGTGAAAACTCAGACCAGGCATCCATCTTGGGTGGAACAACAGCCAGGCTCTTTTACTGCCCAAGGTGTATCCTTTGAAGACTTTTTAATAAATACCTACTTTATTCCTTTAACTCTGCCTAGCCTCTATTCCAGGCAGCCTCTCAAGGCATCAGAACTAGATGAGCTTTAAGGTGCCTTCCAACCCAAACCAATCTATGATCCCTACACTGAATGGGTACACTCACTCTGGCTCCAACCATCATGCAAAATGACCTGAGAACCCAAAGGAATCAAACATGGCCACATTTTCCCAGTGGGCAAACAGAAAGAATCCTAATGCTTAGAGTGATAATAGAAGACTAAATAAAAACTGAATCATAGGAGGAGAGGTGTGTCTGAGTAGGAGAGTAATGACAAAGACAGGTAGAAATAGAATAGCAAGTAGCAGAATGGCAGTTTGGGAAGTAACACTGTAAACATGGAGTCTTTCATCTGTTGTCCCAACAGAAGTGTGTGACATCCAAAAAGATGACAAACATCTGCTAACATTAGGAATAAGACTCTGCCCATACATTTTTCAAAGCATACAGCATCCTGCAATGACCTTTAAAATGTTATGTGTCATAATTCTACTTACTTAGCTACATTAATTTTATCCAAGTTGACTCTGTTTTGCCTACAAAAGTAACTGGTAAGAAATGTCCTTGTGTTTATCCAGACCCACAAGCTCTGTTACTCTGTTTTCTCCCCATGTCCACTGGAGGAGCAGGAGTAAGAATGGCCAGGGGGACACACCTGGCAGGCAGCCAAGGTATCTTCCACACATTTGCAAAACAATGAAAAAAAGCACAAATTGGTTTAAATTTTTTAATGTACAAATTTACATTCACCATGTTGTAACTTTCAAACTAGGCAGGAAATTGCAGCAGTCTGCATGATTTACTCTATCCATAATTCTAAGTGTACAGATTAGAAGAAAACCCTTTTCCCTTTTCACAAAGAAATAAATATTTCATTTCTATAATCAATAATCATTCAGCTTTTTAACAGTCTGTGAGCTATGCACCAGCATTCTCTCTCAAAACTAGCATGTTTTAAAACTAGCATCTCTTGGGATTCCAACCAGTAGTCTTTGTTGCTCCTCATGTGCCCACACAGCATATTCAGAATTCTGCTCCAGCGACACCTAAAGACACACTTCAGGTGAAAGAAGAAGCTGCTGAAGACGTCCATCTTCAGTTCTGCAATCCACCCAGCTGCCAATTACTTTCTTCCAAATGGATCCGACCACACTTTTAACCCTACAAATCAAACATCAGAATAGCAGCAGTTGATAATTTAGAATGTTGGAGAAAAAAAACCAAAACAGGTCTGCTACTCCAGCTTAGGATATTATAAATAATGAAAGAAGCCAACAATTTCTGCACTGAATTTGCACCTCTGCTTAAACTTACAAAAATATACAGAAAAACAACCTCATCTTGATCTTAAACTTCAGATAATGGAAAAATGTATGACATTCATAGGTAAGGTGTTCTAAAACCGTTGGATCATTTGGAATTGCACCTTACACTTAAATTTGTCCAGGTTTCCTTTTCAACTAATGGATTTTGTAACTCATCAGCAGCTAAATTCAGATGAAAAGGAGAACTTACACTAAGAAGAACTGGCCATTAAGTACCTGCATCTTGGATAAATGAGCCAGTCTAGTCCTCTTGAATGTTCAGTAAAAAAGAAAGGTTTACAAGACCTCTATTTCACCCCACTTCTCTTCAGCATTTCCCCCACTTCTCTGGAAAGCAAGTTCTGCAGTAATGATCTAACCAATGCATGTAATAAGGTCATGGTTTAATCCTGTTTGATTTTCACCTGCTGCTGATGTTAGGCTTTCTCAGAAACAAAAATACCCTTTAACAAATTCATATATTACATGTTTCATCAAGACAGGCACTCACATCTTTAACCAAGAAATGCCAGCCTTGAGGAGACAAACCATTTAACATTATAAAAAAAATGAACTACCAAGGATAGTCTGCTATACTTGAATTTTACTTCCTCACATGCTTTTCCAAGCCTTCCACTGTCAGCAGCAAGGATCCAAAAGCTGTTAGCACTGCATTCCAAATTTTCCTTCACATGTAGTGGACTTCTGCATGGCCCATCCACCCATGAAGCCAGAAGGCACTGCCAAAGTGCTGATGAACTGTGTTCCAGCAGTTTGGTATTCCACAAAATTAGGGTGCAACATTGCTTTTTATAGCTACAGCTCAGCCAATCCATGGTTCTCGCTCACTCTGAGCTGCTTCAGAAGTGGAAACTGGCCTCTATTTAACAAAGTGTGAAGACAACAGATACTCTGCAACTTATTTGGCCAGTTAAGTCACTTTAAGATGAGTTTCATTAAAACTGTAGCTTTTCAGTGAGGAATTAGCCTGAAAAAATAATTTAATGGCAAGTTCATTAAATATGTTTTCACTGAATGTATTCTTCACTGTATTATTTAAATCCATACAAATACTGAGGCCGTACTTCAAGAGAGTCTTTAAAACAATTGATGCAAACACATAAATCAAGTGTACCTGCAGGCTGAATATCCTCTTGAACAATACCAGCTCGGTTTATTGACTGCTCATTCTCTGAAAAACAGAACAGAAAGGACACTACTAAAAAAAAAAAAAAAAAAGAAAATACCAGATATATTGATTGCACCTAACAAAATAATCTTGAAAATTTTATTAATTCGAGATGCTACATAGTAAAGTTCTGTTGAGTATCTACCTACAGAATACAAGTATAGTATTCCTACTTCACTGAGAAATCAATAGCTAGTCTGTTTTGAGAGATTACAAACAATAAGATAATCATCCTCAAACAATGCCTACTGTTTAATAAAGATGCCAAAACACCTGCCATGGTCCCAGCACCTAAGGAATGACTAGTACTTTTAGAAGTTCATTCATATGCTCAACATAAAATGAGTAAAAATATTTTTTTTCTTTTGGCCAACTCCCGTTTTCAGGCCCTGAAAGATCTTGCAAACGGATTTCATGACAGCACCTACAAAATTACTGCTTGTAAACTTTGTGAAATTCAGCATCTGAGGGATATTTTCCCATACACGGGGCCTGTCTCAGGCTTTTCTTTGTTCTTTGAATGATTCAACCACTTCCACAAAGAGAAATGGAGAAAACTACACTATTTCCCTTACTAAATGCCCCTCCTTTTTTTCTATTTCCAGTCATGCACTTTACCACCAGTGCTACTCTGAAGCACGAAGTCAAAGCTCAGGTGGATTCACCTTTTGCCCCCACCACTGAACTTCTGAGGCCTTTAAAAACCTGCAGGATGCACATTCCCAAAGAAAGCTCAGAACTAATCTCACCTTAAAACTGGTATTTTTCATTATTCTATCCCAATGGGAATGCACTGGCACTACATGTTATCAGGCTGTCTGTGTACAAGCCTAATGCTACTGGAGACAGCAGTATATCACAGTAATTGATTCTCCTTGCAAGAGCTCAGGCACTAGAGGAGCATCCAGGCTCTCCAGTTCTGTTCACTGAACATGGTAATTCCATTTCATCCTTTTTAGCGGACAAAATCTCAGGAACCTGTCTAATTCCAAAGGAAAAGGCACAAAACCCAGAAAGGGAGAACAGAATAGATTAGGGCAGCAAAGGAGACTTCCTGTAGGACATGAAGGAAAAGGATATTCAGTCTTGAGTAGGAACTTGGATTAGAAGAGAGGCAGGAAAAATAGGAACCAATCTGAGAGTTCTGGGGACACACTTGGGTTGAACAGCAGGAGCTGTAAACTGGTCAGGCAAAGAAACCTGTGCAAAAACGTAAGAGATGATAAATACACAGACAGGACACAGAACAGTCAATAGGGAGACTGCTGTGGGGCCTGCAAACAACTTGGAAGACGGGTAAGCCAGAAAAGAACAAGATTCAGTCTTGGTGACAGGAGAGCCACCTCACAGGATGGGGAAGAAACAAAGTCTCACAATTCAGAAAATCTGTGAAAATGTCACAAAGAACAGCTGTCAAGCCCCTCTTTGTTTTAGTTAATCCATGTGGAAAAGGCCTGTGCTGACAGCCTCAAAGTTTCATCATTGCCACTAAACTGGATAAGCTAGATACTGACAAGAAAATATTAGAAACAGCAAAGCCACCAACTGAGGTACTAAAACCCTACAAAATTATAACATTTCCATATAAAATTATGGAAATGTGCACAATTTACGGTTCATATCAACAATTTGATTATATACAATTTTTCCAAGTAGCTTTCATCTTGTTTGTTAAATTGTTAGGAACTTCTCTGAAAGTTCCTAGAGAATCATGCAGTAAAGTCTTCTTCCAGAACATAATGTACTTCACTTCTATAGAATTTGGGAGATACACAAGAAAAACAAGAGTGAAGAAAGAAAAGATAGCACTTCATGTTTACATAGTCCAATGTCACTCCAGGTAACTAATATTCATTCTTGCCTTTTGCACGATTATTCTGTGATGCTAATCAGAACACCCAACTTTGGGGACACAGCATCCCCAAACAGAAATACTGAGCATTCTCCCAGAGCTCAGGCCAACAGAGGGCAGGAGCTTCTACCTAAGTTGTCAGACAGCTTACTTGACTGTACTCAGAAAATCCTCTGTACTCCAAAGGTTAAACACTTGGGTTCAAGCACCACAACTGTGGTAGTCCACAATCTCGCCTCAAATACTGTGATAACAAATGCTTGTGCCTCTCATACTGCAGTGATGATCAAGAAATGAATAAAGGTGATATCAGATGGAGATTCAGCACCAGGCAGTAAGTTTAGAATCAGGTATCAAATCACAAGTTTGTGCACTTGCCAACTGTGCATCAATTCATTCTATGTCCTAAATAGACATTAAAAATCCCTAAACTGATAGGAAACATCTACTCACATAATTCACAAGTACAAAGGAGGACATTGCTCCACTAGTTCTGTCCTTTCCTTGCTGCCAAGACACATTTCAAATACAGTATTTTTGGAAAGTATAGAATAAGCAAAAAAGATTTAGTAATAATGTTTTCAAAGGGAACACAGAGTAGGAAACATAATTGTAGGAAGTTTCACAAACTACAATTCTGACATACTATCCTTGAATAAAAACTTGCTTGCAAGTGAAATTTTGATGCAAGGCCAAAGCCTCTCCAATAAGACCATTAAGTTTGCTATCCTTTTTTCTTTTCCTTCCTAGAAATCTTCAGTTGTCTTGGTAGATTAACCACATATATCTTCATATTTTTGGCTTGCTTAGTCTCATAAAAAAATAAAGTGGGGTGCAAGGCTGGTTGTACCAGCACTTTTCCCCCATTTCTTTTGTCACTATCTCACAGAAGGCGAGGAGGAGTAATGGGTGCTACCCCTACAGAGCACCTGCCTGGAGCTGCTGAGGCTTCACACCTGGAGCTGCAGGTGTCCTCGGGGCTTGGCAGGTTTTCCTGACAGGAAAGTGGGATTTTCCTCAGGAGTCAGTTCCAGACTCAGCAGACTGAGACCAGTTCTAGCAAATCATCACAACTGGCTGCCAAGTTTTAAGTTAGATTCTCAATGGCAGCTGGAAAACAGAACTCAAACAGCTCATAGAATCATTGAATAGTCTGGGCTGGAAGGGACCTTTAAAGGTCATCTACACCACCTCTCCTCACAGAGCTGGAACATCTTCAGCTAGATCAAGTTGCTTAGAGCCCTGTCCAACCTGATCTTGAATGTTTCCAGGTATGGGAAAACCCACCACTCCTCTGGGCAACCTGTTCTAGTGGTTCACCACCACCATCATAAAAAATGTATTCCTTCTATTTACTCTGAATTTACTCTGTTTTGTTTGAAACTATTACCTCTAGTCCTATTACAACAGGGCCTACTAAAAAGCCTGCCCCATCTTTCTTACAAGCTCTCTTCAAGTATTCTACAAGGTTTTTCTGAAGCCTTCACTTCTCCAGGCTGAAGAACCCAAACTCTCTCAGCCTTTCTGCATGGGAGAGGGGCTTCATCTCTCTGACCTCAACTTCTATAACAGCGTCTCAGTCCTCCAAGGAACAACTAAAGGATGTTGTACTGGCTAATAATCTGAAATAAGAGCAACAGCCAGCTGTATTATTTTCGTTTTCAGGTATCTCCTAGACGAGCAGAAATCCCCTAGGGAGTCACTCGCCGAGCAGCAGTCCCGCATTCCCCCAAGACCGGGCACAGACCGGGCCATGGCCCAGCCAGCTCGCCCCGCGCACGGACTCACTGTACTCCTCGGGCAGCAGCAGCGGCCGGAAATAAATGGGGTAGAAGGCGGCTCCCACCATGGCCACGAAGGCACCGAAG